GAGAGGATTCACCAGAGACAAAGTGGGGTGCAGAACAGGCAGATCCACGAAATACACTGCTGAGGGGAGCAGCGGGCGGGTCTGGAGAGGTCTGCCACGCCACGTGGGTCACCACCGGGGCAGGCGGGGATCGAACTCATGCGGAAGTGGCTTAAGCTTCTTTGTGCTGTGCTTTAACCCGCTGCGCCACAAAGTGGGGCGCAGAACAGGCAGATCCACGAAATACACTGCTGAGGGGAGCAGCGGGCGGGTCAGGAGAGGTCTGCCGCGCCACGTGGGTCACCACCGGGGCAGGCGGGAATTGAACTCATGTGGAAGCGGCTTTAGATTCTCAGTGCTGTGCTGTAACCCGCTGCGCCACAAGGAGGGCCCCCAGATACTTATTTTTATTAGCACGATGTTCTAACCAACGGAGCTGTCTGGCCTACATCAGCTACTTATTTTTAAAAGATTGTAGTATTAAACCAGCAACAAACAATACATGCTGTGAAGATGTGGGGGGTAAGGAACCCTCTTACACTGCTGATGGGAGTGTAAACTGGTGCAACCACTGTGGAAAGCTGTGTGGAGGTTCCCAGAAGTACTAACATGGAGCTGCCACTAAGTTTTTTATTATATCTCTCTATGTAATATCTAATATTAATACATCTATTAATGATAGAACTTTGCTTTTCCTGCTGGCTATCCAGAATTCTTCATCAGGCCTGCAAACTCCAGCCTGTAGGACCAAATAGGAAATACTACAGTGACAAGTCAGAACCATAAGGTTTTCTGAAACATAATTTAGCTATGGAAAAATGATCCTCCGTTGATCAGGGTGTAACAGGAGGTCCCCAAGAAAAGGGGAGTTTCCAGGTTCCCTGTCCCACCCCAAAGGAGGGTGGAGCTGAGCAGGAGGGTGGAGCTGAGTCTCTGGAGAGAGACTGAGGAGGAAGGAAGCAGGATGGGGCCACAGGAGACCTGGGGGGCCCAGGGCGCAGAGACGTGTGGGGATGCGGCTCTTGTTTCTTGGCCCGGCACTGGGGGACACAGACATGGGGGAGACCCGTGGGGGGTGACTGTGGCAGCGTTTATCTTGGTTTTGATGTGTCTCTCTTCCCCCCAGACGTGTCTGCCCATTTCTGACCCTTTCCATGGTCCCTGTGGAAGTTGCTTTAGTCTTGTGTCGGCTTTCAGGCTTTGCTCAGCACCAATCCCTTTTAGATGGACTTTTACCCTCGAGGGGGTGGGCACCGTGGGGTGTTTGATTTAGAAACTATAATCTTTATGTTTGCTGTGTGGCACTCACTGTATTCAAGTGCCTTTGCATGAAAGGCCTTACGTGTTTTGTCTTGATGCCGCAGATGGCAGAGTCTATTTAGAAGAGGTAGGCTTGGGGGTTCAGGGTGCCCCTCTCCCTGCCCTGCAACAATGGCGACCTTTGGAGAGAGGGCTTTGTTTGGGCAGAACAGCGGTGACAGTGGAGGTGCTGCCATTGTGCGGCCCCCTTGGCGCCTTCGCCAGGACTAGGTGCGGTCTGACGCGCCGGCTCTCCGGAGCGCGGGCTTCTGTGCTGCCTGCTGCGCTGTAAGCCGAGCCTGGCCCGTCGCCGAGCTCAGTAACTTTCAGATCCGGCTTTGTTCCTCTCAGCATTTTTGCGCCGCTTTGCACATCCCCTCAACCTGGGCAGGCACTA